AACACTTTCTCTGACAGGCCTCTCATGCTAGAACTGCTTTTAAAGTTGTAGTAGAGCTGGGGTCACAGGTCAGTGGAAGAGGCTTACCTAGCCGACATGAAGCCTGGCATCTTCTTAGGAACACAAAGGGGAAAGGAAAGTCAGTGGCTCTCCTTTAGTCTGATTAACATCAAGGTGTCTCATGTATCTATATCTACATATATGATCTCTTGCTCCTTTCCATCTTCTGTCACATGGTCCTGACTGCAGAAGGACTAATGCCACTATCATGTCCTTGAACCTCCACAACTGTGTTAAACAAATTGCTTTGCTTTTAATTGTTTAAAATTTATTTTTATCATTCTTTCTCTGTGTGTGTGTGTGTCTGTATATATGAATGCCACAAGTGAGCAAGTGCCTGTGGAGACATGGAGAGGTGGCCACACCTCCTGGGGCTGCAGCTAAGGTGGCTGTGAGCCCCTGATGTGGTACAGAGTGGAACTCAGGTCCTCTGGAAGATCAGCAGGGGCTCTGCACTGCTATGCCATTTCTCCAGCCCCATAGCTGCTTTTCTTTCCAAAGACACCTAGCCTCCAGTACTATACTGCAGTATGATGAAAACAGTCTAATATGATACATTTTAATCTAGAAGAAATTTCTAGAAAATAGGTTTCTACCTTTATATCCCCCATCTGTGTCTATAATTCTACTGCTTTTTAAATGCCATCCCTTTCTCTGCCTATGCCTTCCAACCCAGGATCTTACTCGTTTCCATTCATTTTCCTTTTGAGACACTGACATTCATACACTTCAGTTTGTTTTGCTCATTGGTTCTCACATTCCCCCTGTCTCGAGCGTGCAGCCCGTCTCACCAGTGACAGAGTACATGTGAAATCTCCATCTCCTATCAGCCCATTGATTCTTTCCTGTCTCTCCCCCAGTAGTCTGTTTTAAGAACTAAATGCTTACTTATATTTCACCAAGTTATAATTTCAACTCACTCACTTGCCTGTATATCCAAATTAACTAAAGCTATCCAGAAAACAGCTGAATGTTACCTAGAGCAACAGGTAAACACCTAAAACATTCAAAATCATAACCTTATAATATGCTCACCACCTAATAGTGACAGAACACAAGCTCACAGGAAACTACAGTGCTATGAAAAGCACTGAAGACAACACACAGCATCCATAGCACTTCCCTCACGATGTGGATGGAGAGGAGCTACCAGGACCCCAGTGTTATCAGATAATCACCAGGACATGAACGACGAGAGCTGAGACTCAGAATCCCCCATGCCCTGTTCTTCTGTAAGACAGCCATACATTATGCAGGATGGTAGTGGCACACACCTTTAATCCCAGCATTTGGGAGGCAGAGACAGGCAGATCTCTGTCAGTTTGAAGCCAGCCTGGTCTACAAAGTGAGTTCCAGGACAACTAGGGCTACACAGAAAAATGCCGTCTCAAACCAAACAAACAAAAACAAAACAGTTGCACATGTTCAATTTTGCACAATCATTCTGCCCATGAACCTATTCCTCAGACAAGAAAAGAAAACTCAACTCTATGCTCTCCTTTGTAAATTTTGGGTCAAAAGAGAATTTGCTTTCTTTGTTTTTTGAGTGAATCTCTCTCTGTAACCCCAGGCTGGCTTTGAATTCACAACCCTCTAGTTGCAGCTATCTCAGTGATGGAATTACAATCATGGTGTCACGGCACCCAGCTTGGTATTTTTTGATGATGAACATTGAGACACACCTAAAATAGTGGTAAAAATGACTATTTAGCTGACTGTTCATCAAAAAACTGGAGGATCTGGGGAAAAGAAGAAACAGGTGAGGGCCAGCTGTTTTAAGCAGAGCTTAGGAACCCAAATATCTTGGCTTTAGTCTGAGTTGCTGTGAAGAGCCTTCATATGTGGTAGAGATGTTTTAGAGGATCTGATGACAGAGGTAGGAACATAAATAAATAGCTGTGGGGGAGAGTGTGCTGAGTATGTGTGAGCCCTAAGTTCAATTCCTACCATCACCAAAAGGAAAAAAAAAAAAAAAAACAACAACAAACCAGCAGCGATGGGCATGTACACACACATATAGAATATATATACTAAAATTATATATATTTAAAAGGAGACAATGTGGTCATGGTGGCAAAAGCAAACTAAAGAGCATTAATTTTTTCCTATGCGTTACAAACCTTCCAGGGCACTTTTCCCTACAGAATCACTATGTGTAGAACGTGTTCTACAACATATGGCACTGTTTCCACTCCACTGGAATCTGAGTTTCTCCGATACACTTTCTATAGCTCAAACTGTGCCTTTTTGTTGCTTACAACACACACATATGTTTTTATTTATTCAGAATTATATGCATATATGTATACATACACTATATCTTCAAAAAGGTATTTTTACTGTTGAAACTTTCAGCTATTATTTTTTAGTTCATAAACTCATAAGCCAGAAATTATCATTTTTGTCATTGAAGAGGATCTGACTCTAAGCCCCATCCTGCTTGGCTGGAAAGAGAGCGGACCCATCATTTCAGCAACGCCCATCACTTCCCCGGGTACCTACACTCACACGCACATACCCTCACACACTCACATGCACACACCCTCACACCCTCACATGTACACACACTCACACACTCGTACACCCCCATACAGTCACACTCATACACAGAATTATAAACAATAAATCTTAAAGTTAGTATCAAAGGTGTATGGAGCCTGTCTTACTGAAGCATCTAAGAATTTTTTAAAAATCTAGACAACAAAGGGATCATATCTTTTTGTTTGAAAATAGGTTAGGTTGTCAAACTATAATAAAGATTTTATGAAAAATATTATAAAGTAATTCAATCATGCATTTGTGTTCAAATCAAACCTCATAAGATAAAGCTTTGAGAAGGAATGTTGCAACTGAGAACAGGAAATCACAAAACTTATCAAAAAAAGCCATACAAAACCAGCCAACTAGAAACTACAGAACCACAATTTAAGCAAAATTAACAGTGAGAAGACTATTAAATATAGGAGAGTAGGGGCAGGAGAGATAGTCGAGCAGTTAATAGCACTGGATGGTTTTCCATAAGACTTGAGTTTGATTCCTGGCACCCATATGGTAGATCACAAACATCCATAACTCCAGCTCCAGGGCATTTGACATATGCACTCAGTAAGTACACTTACATACATTCGGGGAACACATTCATACACATAAAATAAATAAACAAACAAACATTAAAATAAAATTAAACAAAACAAAATTCAAATACATTTTAAGTAGCACGGTAGCTGAAGAGAGTATTGATAAAGGGAAAATCAAGAATGATGTATAGAACATTGGCTGTTCTTGCAGAGGTCCTGGGTTTGACTCCCAGCACCTACAGGGTGATTCACAACCAGCTGTATCTCCAGTCCCAGGGGATCTGACGCCCTCTTCTGGCTTCCTTAGGTACCAGGCATACATGTGGTACATAGACACATAGGTAGGCAAAACACTCATATACATAAAAATTCATTAAAAAAATTTAGAAGACAGAAACAAAAATGTAAAAGGCTAAAAATGATAACATATATAGTCAGAAGGTACAATTTGTACTTAACTGGAGCCCTAGAGAAGAGACAGCAAGGGACAAGGGCAATAGCAAAAGAGATAAGAATTTTCAAAAACTGATGGAAAATTCTTTCACAGATTTAAGAAGCTAAAAGAATTGCTAGCATTGCTGGCCACTGTGGTTCATATAATGCAATTGCAGCATTCAGGAGGTACAGGTAAGAGACCACCAAGAGTTCAAGGTCAGCCTGGTCTACATAGTAAGTTCCTGCCAACCAGTACTACACATGAGACCTTGTCTCAAAAAACAAACAAACAAAAAAACCAAAAGCCAAAACCATTCCTGGCCCAGCAAGATGGTGCCTGTTACCAAGCCTGAGGATGTTGTGGGATATTTGAGAACACTGGGTAAAAGGCATATACTGATTGGCTTAATAAAGAGCAGAATGGCCCATTGCTAGGCAGGACTTCCGGGCAGAGACAGGAAATCTGAGAAGAAAAGGGGGAGATTTTGCCTGTGAGATGTAGAAGGAGTCAGATGGAGGAGAAATAACAAGCCACGTGGCAGAACATAGATTAATGTAACAGGTTCATTTAAGAGCTAGTTGGGAATAAGCCTAAGCTAAGGCCGAGCTTTCATTAACAATAAGTCTCTGTGTCATTATTTGGGAGCTGATGATCCAAGAAAGTCTGAAAACATGAGGACTTGAGTTAAAATCCCTGGTACCGATGTGGTAAAAGGAGAGAATCCACTCCTACAGTTGCTTTCACACAGAGAGCATGCCTCCCTGTACCCCAAAATCCCCCCCCACACAAATTTGCTTTTTAAAAAATTCCGAGCAAGCTAAAATTAAGCCCACATGTAGATATACCAAAGTGAATGTACAGAAAACCACACACTAAAAGTTTCATGAACCTCTAGAAAAAAAATATGAATCACATAGAAAAAGGTGAGGCTGGAAAGTAACTTTCTCTACAGCAAAATACCATATAAATATGCCTAATCTGTCTGCTGTAACAAAACAAGGTTCAAGTTGAAAATCAGTATAATTCACCTGCAGCCATCCTGTTATGCAGGAGGAAATATCCATTTCTGACATATATCACAATGAAGTTCTAATTTCATTGTTTTAGGGAAAATACAAGCCAATCATGCTAAGGTAGCACCATACCATTCAATGGTTAAAACTGAGAAGATCCAAAATATGAAGTATAGGAAAGGAGGCAAAAAACACTGGGCTTGTGGAATGGCTCAGCAGGTAAAGATGACTGCCACCAAGCCTGATGACCTGAGTCCCATGCGGTGGAAAGAGAGAACCAACTCCTGCAAGTTGTGCTCTGACCTCCGCACACTTACTGTGGCATGTACGTGCTCACACGATAAATAGCTGAGTGTCATCAAAATGACAATGACAGAGAGCTGCCTCGGGAGCATCCACGGTGTGGTCACTTACCCTGACACAAGCATCTGTCCATCATGGGAGAAAGCACACGCCAGAACTGGGGCGCAGTGCCCACGTAGTGTACTTTTATATTTTAATTCAAAGCCTGTAATTAACAAGGTGAGAACATTAGTAAGCTGATTATGCTCATAATTTGTTTTAAGTCAACACTTTTTGACCTATGTACTTAATAATGTGAGTAACAAAAAGACAAAGTCATAAAAATCGTCATGCAATGTGGGTATCCATACAGATACCAGATAATTATAATGTAGGCTCAAGATGGTTTCAAAACTCAGTAATAGCTGGGGATGCAATCCTGAGTCTCATCTCTAGTATACACACACACACACACACACTTCAATAACAGATTTTTTTTCTTATAATCCATTAAATCCCATTAGTGCTGCCAATAATGACAGATTTTTTTTTAATGCTGTACTCTGCAAAGACTAGGCTAGAATAATTTTATAATCACAAAAAATTTTAAGCATGTGAAATATGCTTAATTTTAGTGCCTGGTAAGATAAAAATATGTTATCTGCCTAAGGAAAATCAAGTGCTTATGTTTTATAAAATCTGACTTTACCAACACATTTTGTCTTCCTGTACATAAATCAATGGTATTATACATTCTATAAATCTATAACATCTACAGCACTCTTAGAAAGTCCACTCATTGCCGGGCATGGTGGCTTAATCCCAGTACTCAGAAGGCAGAGGCAGGTAGATCTCTGTGACTTCAAGGCCAGCCTGGTCTACAAGAGCTAATTCCAGTACAGTCAGAACTACCCATAGAAATGCTGTCTGGAAACAAAGGGGCGAGGGGGAAGAAAGTACAACCATAAAATCTCTAGAATTACTGAAAATAAACACAACTCTCTTAAAAGTAAACAGATGGAATTCAGTGTGTTCTAATGCCAACTTGTAAAAACAAGTGTAAGGAGTTACGGAGTGGTGAGACCCAAAATCTTTGCTGAGGTGTCAGACATCAAACATTTAACTAGAAAAGAAGGTTCTATAGAAGAACAGTAAAAACTTCACACTCAAAACAGCATAGACACATTTACCTGGGAGAGCAGAGAAGAGCATTAAGACAGTGACAAATGCCACACATGAGGTGAACTTTAAGGTTGCATTACCAGTCACACAGAACAAAAGTTAGCTGCACAACACTGGTGACTTTCAGTCCAGGACCCAGGCCTGCCTGTGTCCCATAATACCATCAAGCCGAGTAAGATCCAGACAGTGACAGCTGCTGTCTGAACAGTTTTCTCTGCACACTCAAGAGGTCACCAATGTTTCTTAAAGAGTGGTGTAAAGATAGTTTACAATGTATCACAGGGTTTCCTTTTGAACAACTTCAAGCTAATTGTATTTAGGATGCCCACACATGGGACTGTATTTGTATTTCTTACCAGAATTTTACCTGAGTGAAGAAAGAATCAAGGATCACCCTGAGAAGGCAGAAGTCCCTCTCCCCATCATGTTTAAATGAGAAAGGTATCACACGTAAACCAACATGAATAGGGTCTCTTGTTTCTTCATAATGCTCTTCCTTACACTCTAGCACAATTTATGGCGTAGCCATAATTTGTGTGTTCTAGCTAAAGTTTACTAGGTAACAAATGACAACCCATTTTGAGGCATGTGGATCAAAAAGTTGTATGACCACACAGCTTCAAAATCCTTATGTGATAATGAATGAATCTGTCAAGATATGAACGTATCAAGAAGTGCCTGGGAAGGAGGCATCCGAAAAAAGAAACTGAAATCAGTTGTGAAGGTCAGAAAACAGGTCAACTAACAGGCAGCTCAGAGTTGAAAAGCCCGGAGTTCAGTACAGGGGGCTAAAGCTGAGGAGGACATAATCAGTCCCAGGAAAACCTGCCAGATAGGGCCGTCAACAACCAGGGAAACAAGGTCATAAACAGAACAATTACACCTCAGAGTCCTGGCCCCAAAAGTTTGCTGTACAAGGCAGGTGATCTTCCCCAGGAGAAACCTATATAAGGAAAACAGTGGTTGATGACAAGATCCACTGTCCTCAGCTCCTTCCCCATAAGGCAAACACACTTCTCATCTACAGGCCTTGTGGGCAGTGAGCTCCTGAGAGCCTTGCTGTCAAATCTCTAGTTGTGGAGATATCACGTCACTGGACACCTGAAGAAGGTAACAGTGTGAATGACAAGGATGAAGGCAAGCAAAGTCGAAGCCCAGAGGTTATGAGAACAGAAGGGAATTTGGAAAATTCTTCCTTCTCTCCTTCATTACAAACCAACTATAAAAAGGAAACAAAAGGCCAGTGAGACGGCCTGGAGGTAAAGGTGCTTGCCACAGAAAGCTGATGCTCTGGATTCAGTCCCTAGAACACAAATGGAGGTGGCAGAAAACCAACTCCACAGTTTTCCACTGGCCTCCACCATAAGCCAGGAATGCCCACCCCCATAAGAAGAAGTAACTTTAAAATATATTTATTTTATTTTTAATTATATATAAATGAGCGTCTTGTGGATATATTCATGTGAGCACAGGTTCCCACAGCGTACCTGTCAGCCATCCTACATGGCTGTTAGAAACCCAACCCGGGTCCTCCTCAAGAGCAGTAAGTGCACTTCCTCACTGAGCAAGCTCTCCAGCCCCAATAAAATGAAATGACATAAAGATGAACTTGTAGAAATTGGTGAGATCGATTCTCAAATTGATGAGATACAGATTCAACAGACTGAGAGATGAATGTGTGTGTGGCTGGGAAGGGAGAATCCATTCAAGGGCTCCACCATCCAGCTGATGGAAGTTCAGGAAGAGCACAGGAGAGAAAGAATCATTGGAGAGGCACTATAAAGGAATACCATGGCCCAAAGTGGACCACACATGTGTCCTGACTGAAAGGTCACCTGACACAATGAGACTGAGCATGAGAAGACTCACATCAATAAACAGCAGCCACAATATATAAATGCAAAGGCGATGTAAATAACACCAGCAAGAGTGTGAAAACCAGTGAAAGAGTCAAAGCTAAATCAGGTGCAGGGTGGTTTCCTGCAGTGTGCGGGAAAGGAGGTGGAAGAGGTAGGGTGTGGTCAGACCCAGACATGGACAACAGGCTTCTACATCCAATTCAAGTTTCTCTTTGCTTTTGAGGCTGGGTCTGTCATAGTAGCCCAGGCTGGCCTTGTCCATGTAACACAGGTGAAACTGGTATCGAAGTACTCATCCTCCTCCCTCCATCTCCTAAACTCTGATTTTAAGCATGTGCCACAACACCCAACTCAATAAAAGTTTCTTAAAACAGATTTTTATGTCTTAAGATAAAAAAGATTAAAGTCTAATATAGGTCACAAATAATTTTAGATATTTGAAACATACCTAAGACATGGGTAAAAGAAACTACCCAGAGTTTGATTTCACAGTCCTGACCGCATGATGCCAGTCGGTAAAACTGAAGGCCTTGCTCTCCACCTAAAAACAGCAAGTTACATAAACAAATAAAAAGAATTGGTCTGCTGAGATCTGCTGATGTGGCTCATCTATGCCATGTAAACAATGAATATTTGTTAGGTGACACTTCTAATAAAACGGTTATAGAATTTCTTCTAAGCAGGCATTAAATAGGATTATAATTTAAGTCTGAAATTTCTGTTTAAGAAAAGTCCTTCTAGGCTATGGCTCAAAGCTATAAAAGCCAGTAATTCACCACAAAAGCAGAACATCTTCCAACTGAATTTTAGAGGTTATGAAGCTATCATTAATGAAGAAAATTAGAAAAGTCAGTTATCTTAAGAATGTTAAGTGGTTAATCACACCCAATGTAATTGCCTTCTGAAGTACCAAGTTTTTAGAAGCCTGATGTAATGCACATGGAATAATAGTGAGGATTTATTTTCCAATTGATCAGATCAAGAGGAAAACTCCAATTCTATAAATGTAAAATCATATCAATTCAACTGATCTGGTGAAAAATATTACACAGCTTAGGAACATTAATCAAGGTGATATCTTAGAAGCCACTGGATAAGGTTTCTTAGAGAATTTAGATTTCATTATGTGTCTACTAGACTAAATCATATAAAATCATATAAAATCTCTGTACTTTCCCCATCGCGTTGCTATCATTTGTTCTCAGGAGCAGATCAGCAGTCTGTTCCCCCAATAAACTTTTCTTTCTATTCACAGAGTGGTCCAGTTCAGGGGTTTCACTGCATCCTCCCTTACAATCATCTAGTCCAATGATTTACTTTTAGATCGTCCCCTTGCACAAAAAGCAATCTAAATTCCTCCACATCTATACAATTCATGACTCGCTGTGTGAAAAACGTTTCCTATCAACGATGGTTAATTAGCCCTTCATCTTGTGAAAGTCTTGTGTGACTGTCTGTCCAACCTCCAGATGCCAGGCACCCCTGAAACCTGGTGCCCTTCCCCTTCAGGGGTGAGACAAGGTCACCCCCCTGCTGTATGGTAAAATCTAAGTGTTCTTCCCACCATGCTGTGCTTGCTCTGAAACCCCCCTTGCCTACTTAGTGTGACGCTTTCAACAAGTGAGTGCCTCAAAAATGGAGAAGGTACCACAAAAGTGGGCAAAATGGATCCTGTCTATTACAAGCAATCCTGGGGATAAAATAGCACAAGACGATTGTCAAAAGACTAACATGCCTGACTAAACTCGGTAGAGAATTTAATAGAGGAATGGGTTCAAGGAAAAAAAATCTATTAACCTGATATAGAATGTTAAAAGGTTAAAAAAGAAAAGATTTTAGCTGATCAAGCAATCTTCACCAGCCAAGGTCTGGTGTCTGTCTAGGTAACAGGTCCAGAGGGAAATTGCTTGAAAAACAAATTCAGTGCAGTCAAGGAATGGAGGGGGGCTGTGTAGCGAGAGTGTATATAGAGCCACGACTGAGTTTCAGGTAGGGTTAGGTGCAACACACTAGGAAGGCACCTAGATATTGTGCCTTTAGGGATCTGAAATCTGACCTTCATTGTACTTGAGCCATTCAGGGCTCTGGAATAAGGGAATGCCAAAGCCATTCTGTCTTCTTTCTGTGTCAAGGATGCCCAATAGCACAGACAGCCACATGTCACGAGGCTTGAACAGCAAATCCCTTATCAATTTTATCTCCCCAACCCTTTCCCAATTTGTAAAACTACCAGCTCTAAGCCAGGCGCTGGTAGCACACACCTCTGAGGCAGAGTCAGGCTGATCTCTGAGTTCGAGGCCAGCCTGGTCTATTTCCAATTTCTATCTCAATTTCAATTTTTTAAAAAAGACAGTAAAAGCAGCAGTTAAGTCTGCAAAAATTCCATATTCGAAGGATCTGAATCTATTGTAACAAGCAGAATTGTCCTGTACTAACCAAAAAAAAAAAAAAAAAAAAAAAGGACAATTTTTTTTCCATATAATAGCTCTTCACAGTTCATTTTACTCTAAAAAGAGAGCAAAAGGACGATTCCATAATAGACTGGGGAGACCCTCAATACTAATGATGGGATGGAAACTCAAAGAACAAAGTCAGAGAAGTTACAAACAGGGATCCAGTACTTAAAAGGGTGAGCTAACCAACCAGAAAGGGGCTGTGGGGAAAAGGCACAGCAGGTGATCCCGAGGTCGTGAGCTTTCTCAGTGTGTAGAAACCTCATTCGATCATCCCACACTGTTATATCTCCACTAGAGGAGCCAGTGACAAGGAGGCTTCCTTCAGGAGAGAATGCACAGGCCACCAAGGAGCCATCCTTGACAGTACCACACCTGAAACAAAAGCAAAACAGGAGGAGATGAGGTTCTTTCTATTACAGTCCCTTCTGAAATGACAGCTGCCTACACAGAACAGGTGACTGATGCCCAAAAACCGACTGATGCTACAAACCGACACATTCTGTACAGAGTACAGGGAGGAGGTAAACATAATAAGTAAACATATGAGCCCAGATCATAGCCGCTACAATCTTCCTATCTTTACATTCTCGTTGCAACTCAACATGAGCACATTAAAACCCTACAACATAAAAAGGTGAAAAACAACCAAGAGTAACAATGGCCACATTTAAAATGTACAGAATGAATTTGACTGAAAAGGCACGCTATTATAATAAAAAGCCCATTCAACTTCTGTATTAAAATCACTTGATAATAATAAGGCCTAATGCCTCAGCTTCAAACAAATTCTTTATGAAAAAAACATGTGGTGAACAGTGATTCTCTTGGGAAGAGAAGGCAAAAGCACTGTCCTGGCAACACTGTTCCTCAGATAGGAAAACAAACCGGTAAGGACTCTGCAATTAGTGCAGTATTAATCACACACAGGAAGGAAGATGGGCCACCGAGGTGGAAATCACAAACCTAGCTAGCTAACCAGGGCGCCCATTGCTATAAAACAGAGGCATCGCATGCATTCTGAGCAGCCTGGTTGAACCAGGTCAGCCCTCTACCACCCTTCAAAGCATCATCTTCTTCAGCTCTGAGACCACAAAGGAGCAACGTTCTGACCAGCTGGCCCTCCTGTTCTGCAGACACCAAGCAGGAAGACCATCAGATGATTTTATCTTCAGCATAAAGCAGGCTATGGTTTCTAATGTGCTTAATAATTTCAACTGAAATGGTCAACAGTGTGTCTATTTTACCACAATAAAAAGTAAAACTTAGTTTTAACAGGATTCAAGCCAGGCAGGGTTTAAACAGCCATACCTATATAATTTGTATGACTGTGCATTCCACAAAACAACAGATCCATCAGCGGCCCCTGATGCCAGGTAAGTGGAATCCGGGGAGAAGCAGCAAACTCGCACAGGGCTGCCACCCGGCTGCTCCATCACCGTCAGGGGCTGTCCGCTGTGTGCACTCCACAGCACTGTGGTACCATCTGTTGAACACGATGCCAAAATGTGTCCCGAGGGCGAGAAACAGCAGCAGTGGACAGCATAGGTGTGAAACTTCAATGGGGAGTGTGGCAGTTCAGCAAAGTCACTTAGGGAGTACAGGCGGATGGTTTTGTCCAGGGAGCAGGTAGCCAAGAGGGACGACGAGAAGGCGCAGCAGCTGACATCATCACCGTGATGTGCCAATGTGTGAATCAGCTTCACCATGGTCTTCCTGCCAATGTAAAACAGCCTGCATGTTTTCAAACAAGTCAAAGTTACCTGCCATCCTAGGGATCGGGGAGTCCAAGTCCATGTACAAGAATCTACCTAACGAAAGCGCCTACATGCCCATTTTTAAGGTCAGTTTATTCCCTGGAAAAATTTGAAGGAGCTGATGAAACACAAAACACAAGAGTATCTTTTGCCAATCATAGACACCCCTGATACCCCAATAGACTCATTTCACCTTCGAAGCCTAAAACCGGCCTCACTTCAAACCTGTTCATCTCAACTTAAAAACATTTCCAATTTTAGCTGTGTCAGAAGCTCCCTCCACAGGAGAGCCATGACTTACTGATGGGGGGGGGGGGGGGGGAGGGACCAGTCTCACTCAAAATGTGGCTATATTGAGAGCTGTTTTGTTGTGGACTGAATGAAGACACAAAAGATTTGAGGCAAGGAAACCAAAATGCCAGGAAAACAGAGCTGGCCAGACCATACACAATCCAAAAACAAAATCTAAAAGCATAAAATACAAATTCCTCTCTATAGCTCATAAAAATACATGGCCTAATTCCTTTTTTATTTCAACAATAATTATTGATTTCATTTCACAAATCTTTGGTGTTCCTGTTGTTTATTCTAAGGTAATTTTTAGATTTGCTATTCAAAACTAGCACATAGTTATGGGTTTCATCATGACATTTTCAGTTCCTCTTGTTGAATTTTTCCACTTCTCTCTCTGATCTCTAGATCCCTTCCCTCTGGAAATAATATCCTTGTGCCTTCATGTCATGTGTGTGTGTGTGTTATTCACGTGTGTGTCTAATATATATATATATATATATATATATATATATATATATCTGTGTGTAGTGTATATGTATGTGTGTTTGTGTGTGGATAGCATAGGATGTTTTGCCTGTATGCATGTTTGTGCACTACATGCATGTGGAGTCTGCAGAGACCCAAAAAGGGTCCTGGATTTGGAGTTATAGACAGTTATGAGCTGGTAAGTGGGTGTTAGGGATCAAACCCAGGTCCTTTGGAAGAGCAGCCAGTTCTCTTAGCCACTGAACCATGTCTCCAGCCTCATGTCACACATATTCTATTACTTTCTTCCCATCCCTTGAGTTTTTTTCCTTTCTCTTGGTCTCCTTAATGTCATGACACATATCCCCACGCCGACACAAATATAAGAATTAAGATCAGAATCCTAGCTTCAACTCTTCAGTTTTGTGTGTTTAACTTGGAATACTGTGGAAGGCAGGAAAATGGAAAGGGGACATTGGGAATAGAGAAACTTTAAGGGAGGAGAGAGAGTAGAGTTTTATGGGCTACTCAACATACAGTAGAGATGGGGGGTACTGGGGCAAAAAGATTTAAGCTGGGAACGGGGGAGATGAGGGAAGGGAGTGTTAACCAAAGCAAAGGGTGTATCAAAAGCCATATGGAAACCCAATTGAAAAATATCAAAGTTTCAAAGGCAGATAACTTGCACGACTAGCTAATACTGCCCTAGAGGCAGTGAGTTGCTGAGGAAAATTCTCAGTGCCAATTCTTAGTTACTTTCCTATTGTGAAAGAACACAATGACTAAGAAAACTTATAGAAGGCTTTATTGCAGTTCCAGGTTAGACTCCATGACCATCACAGCAGAACATGGCAGTAGGCAAGCAGACATGGCACTGGAGCACTAGCTAAGAGCTCACATCTGCTCCACAGGCATGAGGCAGAAAGAGAGCTAACTGGAAATGGCATGGGCTTTTGAAACATGTCAAAGCCAATCCTCATTGACACACCTCCTCTAACAAGGCCACACTCCCTAATCCTTCTCAAATAGTCCTCTCAACTGTGGACCAAGCATTCAAATATATGAACCTATCAGGGCCATTCTCGTTCAAACCACCACACTTCCATAAGAATTGTCAGAGAAACCCCAGAGGCTCCCAAGACAGCACAGGCTCTTGCCATTCCTTGGTTGTTCACCAGAACTAGATGATAAGGCTCTACTGCGGAAGGTTCCACACCTCTTGGTTCTAAGATACAAAGAAATCAAATTGGAACTGACCTGGAAACCTCCTCCCTGCTGGCTAGCTCTTAGTGCTAGATGGTGCTATGAAGGCTGCTGGAGAGAAAAGACAAGTCTTACCTCACTGAAACTCTATGAACTATAATCACAACCTACAGGGCAAGATGTACCCACCAGTGTAATAGTGGCACAACTGTTACAGAGGTAACCAGTCTCTCTATGATTAGATTTCTGAACAGCTCCACAGGAGGGAATCTATGCCCAGTACTGAAAAACTGTCCATAATCCATACCTAGAAAGGTCATAGTTCTTCAGGGGAAAACTTACTACTGTTGTTTAGCTTAATTGACAAAGTATCAAACTCTCCTTTCAAATATCTATGCTCATAACCATAGACAAATGGTACTCTCAGCCCTAGAGAAACCTCTCTTTGCAATGAGCAGTGGTGAATGCAGAGTCTCACAGCTACTCAAGATCTTATGAAAGAAATAAAGCTGAGGAATCAGACCTAAGCAAGATACTAGTACCTTCCCTTCCAAGGCTTAAGGAACAAAGATAGGATAGGGCACAAAAAAGAATTAAAGAGGCATCAGACAGAGAAGTGCTTTGAAATTCCACCCTCTGGAGGCAACACAGTCACTACAATCATCAGCTCACAGAAGCTGTGGTAACTTGCACTGGGCAGGCATAAGATTGGTTCAGTCAAGTCAAGGATCGGGGAGCTGCTCAGTGTTGGGGACCAAGAAAGTTTCATTAAGGAATGTCTTAAGTTTCAGTAAACAGGAGCACCCAAGAACTCCAAACTACAATTGTATTGCAGATGTGAGCAAGTCTACTGTTGAATAGCATGGCCTCAGTGTAGAATGTGTCTTAGTTTGCATCTCTATTGGCATAAGCATTGAGTAGGCCCACACCTTGGCTGAGAACTCTGTCTACTTGTCTAGGAACTGTTTAGGTAATGCTTGAATAGATTCACTTGGTATTAGCTATATACATCATAATAGATGATTCCTGATGATGCTCCTGCCCTTGGAAGACTATTTAAATGAACTTCTCAATAAACTGTGGCTTCGGCTGGGAGCCCTCCTGAGATGATATGGTGTTTCCTGTCTCATCATTAGTGCGTTGGGTAATTAGATTCCTCTAGTCCACACACCCCCACTCAGAATTCGACCAGGGACTGTACGGCTGGCTCCATTCACAGTCCTGAAGACAGCTGTCCGGAACAGCTCAGGAGGCACACTACTCCTTAGTTCTGAACTATTGGCCAATGGGAGATTCTGAGAGAGGGAGACACTCACTCACTGTTCAGTTGTGGAGCCACTAGGCTCAGATGAATCCTTTTAAATCTATGGCCACATAGAAGATCCTGAGAAAACTCTCAGGGGGCCATAAAACAAAAAAAAAACATGAAGGTGGGGCAAAGAGCAATCAGAATGCATTATGCACATATATAAAATTATCAAAGAGCAAATTTAACCAATTCAAATTTGTTAACTAAGTTAACAGTTCAGGATCCACATGAGAGAAACACAGCATTTGTCTGGGTCTGGCTTATTTCACTTAATGGGGTCACTTCTAGTTCCATCATTTTCCTACAAATGCCATGATTTCATTTTTCTTTATGGCAAAGTACAATTCTATTGTGTACATGTACTGATTTTTGAAATCCCTTTGATGATCGACATCTAGGATGGTTCCATTTCTTGAAATACGCAGCAGTAGGCACAGATGGGCGTGCATCTCTGTGGTGGGACTTACATCTTTGGGTACCTAAGAAGTTGTTCGGCTAGGTTGTATGTTAGTCTTTTGAGAAACAGGTGGCAGCACCAGTGTACAGTCCCACCTCCAGTGACCAAGAGTCCCTCTTAATCCACAAAGAAGTAGGCACCTCGCCCATATTGCTAATCTCTAACGACAGCACGCAAGACAGTGCCAGGTCCCGAATGTGCTCAAATAAAACCTCGTTTAATATTTATTTTTCTGAAAACAAGTGAGTTTGCCTTTAAATATTAAACATGAAATCTATCGTGAAATGATTTAGAAAACAAAGCTGCCAAAACAAAAATCTAACTGTGGAAAAACGGAACAATTAAAAAAATAATGCTGGGCCTGGTGGCAATAGCCTGTATGTAACAATAGCAAAAGGGAGGCAGAGGCAAAAGGAGGATGGGACTTTGAAGATTATCCAAAACTAAACAATGAAGTGAGGCCAGTGTGCTGAGGCCCAGGTTCAGTCCCCAACACTGAAGAAAGAAAGAAAAGAGAAAGAAAGAAAGAAAGAAAGAAAGAAAGAAAGAAAGATCAACAAACCAATTAACAATGGTGGCTGTGACCATCCCTAAGGGGCAGATGTGACCTCGACTTGTAAATTGCACAATCTTCCTCACCTAGTTTACGGACATCTCCACAAATAAAATCCTAAATGTTCTCATCTTCATTTCCCCAAAGTTGACCCCACTCAAAGCCTTAAAAACGTAAGCAGGTCCTGGGAAAACAAGCTCAGGTGGCGCTTTCTGGAGCCGTTCCAAATCCCCAGAGTACCAAGTGCAGCGGGAGACCTTCGGAACCCGCGCCGGCTTGGAGGCCAGGGCACACTGGAGGCCAGGCGAGTTTGTGGGCCAGCGGGCCAGCGGGGCATGAGTGGCCGCAGCCTGGGGGGGGCCGGGTCCCGCCCCCACCCCCGCCCCCGGCGCACAGCCAGCACTCACTTCCCTAACACCCGGACACTGAGCGTCCCGCCTCGAGGCGGCTCCTCCCCGCACGACTCGCCCGCAGAGGTCACGTTAGCTCAGCGCGTGCACCACGGGTCTCTGGGTCACCAAGGTCGCACCGCAGTAGCCTGGAGGCTTGGCCTCCGGGCTAGACAGCACAGTGGGCACAGCCTGGCTCGCTGGATCACGTGTTGATGAATTGAGATGGGCGTGACTTCGGTGCCGAGAGAGCCGCCCAAGGCCCCGCCCTGGCCCACGCATGCGCGCCCGTGTCAGCCCCCGTTAGCGCGAGTCCCAAGGGGGATTAGGCGCTGGAAACTTACCTGGAAAGTTTTTTTCCTGCTTAATGGTCCGCATGGAACTGTATCATAATTTATTGAACATTTTCCTACAGCTGAATGATACTTAAACATTTTTGATCACAGAAAAATGCTAGATTAAGCTTCATGCATGATTTACAAACTTCAAGTAGAGCTAAATAGAAATGGAACTTCTGGGTCTATGAGCCTAAGATTCTTCAGAAGTACACTACATACCAAGTTCCCGATGGCTCTTCAGAGAGGCATGGTTTGTACTCTCCGTGATAAGTGTAGTGGTGTCTGTCTCTCCACATTCTTGCCAGACTTGAGTGATATCTCTGTAGTGAGTGAATGAAGCTCTGAGTGAATGTGTATTTGTTTGATATGGGCGCAGCCATGTTAAGGAGCCCAATGCCTTAGATCCATGGGAGTGGGAAACCCATCTCTTCTGTCTCAAGTTCCAATGTCGACAGTAAGCAGAAAGTGTCCATTGTAGCTTTGTCGTCCTGGATATTTGCGGCCTGAAGACTGCTCCCTACAGAGACTGCCCCTACTTCTATGAGCTAAGTCTGTCCCCTTGTTCAGCTGTGTACTATAAACCCTGCCACCCTGATGCAGGTGAATATAATAACCTCCCTCCCTGTTCAACTGTATACAATAAACACACTGAGCTTCCAGCTGCCAGAGTTCTGTAGTCTTTCCCATGAGAACCCAGACCATGTGATCCCAGCATCTGCAAATGTGTCTCATTTCTTCATTTCTTCATTTCTTCGAGGGCCCAGTCAGGTCAATCCCTAGAGCCATCTGCAAGGATGCAGCATATCTCCATTAAGTTTATTGGCTTCAATCATCTTTAGTGACATCTATAAAAGAATCCTACGTGATGGTTAATCTTGTTAACGTGTCCAGATCTATAATCACCATGGAAATAAACCTCAGCGCATGGGTATGAGGAATTTTCTAGGTTAGGTTAATAGAGGTGGAAAGGTCCACCCTAACTGTGAGTGGCACCATCCCCCAGAATGTCTTGGGCTGAAAAACAAGAAAGGACAGTGTTCATCTCTGTTTCTTGACTCAGATGCAATCTGACCAGTCACCCCAAGCCATGCTGCTCATGAACCCAGAATGATGCTCTTTCTCTCCTGGAACTGTGAGCCTTCTTTAAGTTGCTCTTGTCATGTGTTTTATTACAGCAATGAGACAAATAGCTAATGGGGCCTGAGTGCGGACACCAGATGTTTGTAGGACATTCACCCCAAGGCCATCGGAACAGGTAGATTAGAGGAGGCAAACTAGTAGCTGGTCTCTTGCCTAAGACCTTGGAATTTGGAAGATTTTCTAAAATATCTTGCCAAATGGGAATAATTTATAAAAAGAACATTATAGTTGGGTTTTCTGTGCCTTCCCATTGGACAGATGGACAGATATATCCTATTCAGTGCCACCTGTGTCCCTGAGACAAGATGGTATAAGTTGGGGGGGTGGCAAGTTTAGTTTATTGGCTCCTGGTCTCTACATTGGCTTCAGTTCTATCAAAGTAGATATTACCACCTTCAATGACCACTGCATGATCCAACTGCATGATCTCCATGCTCTAGTAGGATTCCAACTCCAGAAAGTTCCGCAGAACTGGTGGAAATTCATGGCAGAGCAAAAACCAAAGCTTCAAGGCCAAGAAGTACAAAAGAAATAGAAAAGGGGCTGCATCCTACTACTGGCTTCGATGGTATGGATGTGACCTGAAGATCTGCCATTGACACTGCTGCTTACAGGGTTCACCAAACCCCCAAAGCACCAGGAAGTTGGAACCAAGCTTTTAATACATGGACTCTTGGGGTATATTCCAGACCCAAATCATAGCAATTGCTGTTACGTGCCTTGAGTTCCAGGATGCTGGGACTGCCTCAAGAAATAGGTCTGTATAATTTCAACTGGTAGTTATGAAAGGCAAGACAGTTCTGGGGTTACTCACCTCACTCTGGGGAAGTCTAGACCACATGGAGAGGAATGAAGGCCCCATCTGTCTATCCAGTCTGGGTTCCAGTAAATAGACAGAGCCCTGAAGATCTATCTGCCACCTCACAGTAACACACTCATGACAATAGCCAAGTACCGGGCCCTGTGCTGATGGCAGATTTTTCTTTATGCCCTGGAGTTGTTTAGGGCTTTAAGTGTAGTAACCAAAGGCCAACTTTTCATTGGCCCTCACTCTTGTAAATTACTTAGAGAAATATGCTGTCCTAGTTATTTTTTTATTGCTATGACAGAGCACTGTGACCAAGACAACTTAGAAATGAGGTGTTTAATTGGGTTTATGGTACCAAGGGGTTAGAGGCCATGATAGTGGAGCATCAAAATCTGCTACTAGTGACATACTTCCTCCAGCAAGGCCACAACCTCTAATACTTGTAAAACAGTCACTAACTGAAGACTAAGAATTCCAATATGAGCCCATGGGGGTTCTCATTCAAACCACCACAAATGCTAACATAGTTCCTCTCTGCTTAAAATGAGATGATTGAAACTCAACACCACTATTGTTTATTTAAAATTTGAAAACTATCCTTTTTTTAAATGACTTTTTTAAAATGTTTTTTTCTTGTATTTTATTTTTTATGTATACAGTGTTCTGGCATATATGCCTACTTGCCAGAAGAGGGCACCAAATCTCATTATAGATGGTTGTGAGACACCATGTGGGTGCTGGGAATTGAACTCAGGACCTCTGGAAGAGCTGCCAGTGCTCTTAACCTCTGAGCCCTATTCTTGGAGTGTAACAATAAAGCTATAGTGGGTAACCAGCAATAACAATGGTCTGTTCTTTTGGAGAACCCTGTGACCTCCCTGTCCAATACTCATAGAGGGGGAATCTCTAGCAGCAGCATTGGCCATGCATGTAGTCTCCATTTGAACTCCTTTAAGAAGTTATGCTTGGAATTATCTTACTAATTAGTGAGATAATCAAAGGTTCACTTCGTTAATCCACTCTTGTACCCAGACCCTCTCCTTCCCCATCCCCATTCTCCCGCCTTTCCTTAAATCTTCAAGCCCTCAATATCCAGCCCTCGTCTTTCATATTTATGGGTCATTCTTAATTAAAGAGGTCAGCAGTGAAATTCCCCCAGGAAACTCTGAAGTGGTTCAAAACAAGGCATCAATTAAATGAACTCTAGATTCATCCAATAACCAGAGCTGAATAATCACTTTCTAGTTATGGCTATTCTAAATGATTACAAACACATTTGTTCATGAGAGGTTCTGCAATGACATTAAAGAATAAAACTAAAATACCCCAGCAACAAAATCACATGAACAAAATTTATTTGACCAAAATAAGAATACAAACTTCTTAGGAAAGTCATAGGGTGACATTAAAAGACACAATCCCACAATCTAAGAATCCAAAGGAATGTATTAATCCAACTCCAAAGAAATCCATGTAGATGTATTGCTGATACAGATAGATTTGCAGAGTCTTGCCCTGTGATAGTTATGCAGTTAATGTTTCTAGGGCTGATAAAAATACATATTGCTTAAATGTCTCTTGCCCGCTCACCGAGGTGATAACTTCCTGGCCCTACCATATAGGACGAGGTGGATGACTTTTCTTTTTGACTGGGTCATCTCTTCTGTGACTTTCTTATTTTTTATTTTAAATAATTAATTTTGGTATTTTAAGACAGAGTTTCCAGCTGTATTGGAACTCACTCTGTAGACAAGGCTGGACTCTGCCTCCAGAGTGCTGGGATCAAAGATGTGCCCCACCACTACCTGGCTGACCTCCTAATAGTTTTAACTGATCAGTTGGCATATAACTTAAACATCATACAACTCACCCATTCAAAATATAACATTTAATTTTTAATATATTCACAGTTGTGCAACTGTCATAACAATCCCATTACCTAGAAGTTAATAAGAAAGCCCCCAGACCTACTCTAATCTCTAGTCAAACACATTGATCCACTTGCTATTTTTATAGCAGTGCCTATTTTGGTCATTATGTGTAAAGAAAATCGTATGTGGTTTTTATCACTGACTTTTTTGCTCAGAACAGTATCTTCAGTGCTCTTACACATTATAGTATGTATTTCTTCCTTTTTATTACCAAATAATATTCCACAGAATAAGTAGACAGCATTTTTGTCCATGTATCAGCATTTGAGTTGCTTCCCATTCTTGGCTACTATGCTGCTATGAACACATGCTTTTGTGTGGACATATTTTTAAGTCTGCTGAATACACACCTAGGTGTGAAGTTTCTGGGTCGTACAATAAGTGTAAGTTTCACATTTTGAGGAACGTTCAAACTGATTTCCAAACTGGCTGTGCTAGTTCCCAAGGTCACCAGCAATGCAGGAATCCCTGACAGCTGTTCCTGTCTGTCTTGCTGGTAGCCATCCTTTGTTCTGCAGTAAGATCTTGGAAAGTGCAATTTGTCGGCCTTCTCCACTCTTCAACCATCAAAATGCCCTGTCTCAAAACAATCAAGTGTGACCCTCCAAATTTCATGACAGTATTCTAAAAATACTCTCAATATTTGGCTCTTCTTATCTCTCACATTTCATTGTGAACTTTAAGAATAGTTTATCAGTTTCTACAAAAATGCTGACATTTTTATTTGACATTTTGATAGGGATTGTGTTAAATGTATAGGCAAACTTCAGGGTTGTTTTTTTTTTTTTGTCATTATAACAACATCAAGTCTTTCAATCAGTGAAACCTATATTTCTTTCCATCAACTATGATTTTCTTTCCATGATGCTCTACAGTTTTAATAGCACAAGTTACATGCTCTTTTATTCCTGCCCCTCTTCCTCCCTCCTGTCCTTCCTGTCTCTCTCCTTCATTTCTCTTTTGTCCTGTCTCCCTAGCAATTGAATTTAGG